TTTCAGCCTGGGAGATGGAGCTGTAAACAGAGATGCAAATTTCTTGGTGCAGATTTAAGCTCTGTTGCAAACACACTGGATCTGACAGCACTGTGGATGGTCATGGGCTTCTAAGGGCCTCGCCTATCAGTCGGTATGGCCATGCACACTCTCGTGCTGTGAACCGGGATGCAAGAAGCTGCCTTTACCCCAAGGGAGAGCTTTGGTCCTTCTGGCTCTGAATTGCCTGCACAGGCAGTAGTTCCCCAGGGTTTCAGACCTCGGATGTATCTGCATGCCAAGCACGTGCTCTTCCGCTGAAATACAGCACATCCCCAGAGGCTGTCAGCTTGGGTCGCCTAAGAACCGACGTGCTTCCTAAAACATTCCCTCGACAGGCGGAGTGGTGCTTGGCCGTTCCAGAACACACAAGTTAGCAACAGACGCGCACGCAGGGTTGCTTTCCCACCAAGATGCAATTCAGCCCAGTGCCACCAAGTGACCAAGCTAAGGAATGCTGCTACCAAGTTGAGGGGAAACGGCCGGACAAGTGGGGCAAGTTGCCTCGCTACTTACTAGCAGTGCCACTACAGGAGCAAACAGAGCTTTGGACCAGCCGGGCACGTGGGCAGGGCTGGCCCGGCTTGGAGCCGTGCATCTTGGAGGCAGAGCCGCTGTCCCAAATGGGGCCGTGCCGTCCGGCACGCAGGCATGGGCCAGGAGCGCCACTTACTGGCCCCAGCGCTGGGCCGCCACTGCTCCAGTCCCTGCTGCCTGTGCTGAGCCTGCCTGGCACGCATGGAGGCACCGCCGCTGCCCCGTGGGTGGCCCCTGCCCTGCCCCAGGGCACGTACTTTTGGGGTGGGGAGGGGAACTGACCTCCTTAACTATGGAATGCGCTCCCCAGAGAGGTCCGCCTGGCGCCGTCGTTATCTGTTTTTCGGCGCCAGGCCAAGACCTTTTTATTCAAGCGGCATTTTAACTGTTAATAGTATTTATTTATTTTATTCTTTGGCCAGGGCGACTTATTTTATATTGTTAACTTGTTTTATATTGTTAATTTATAGTATTTTCATTGATTTATTTGTGAGCCGCCTCAAGGCTTCGGCGAATGGGGCGGCATAGAAATTTTCTAAACAAACAAACAAACAAACAAAATAAATAACTGGCTACTAATTGTGTGTTGAGTGGGATTCTCCTTGCACAGTTACCCCCATCTGAGCAGCAGTGGCGGTGACCCCTCTCAGGGCCCTGGCAATGCCTGGATGAAGGAACTATTTCTAACCACTCCTTCCTGGATCGTTCTGTCTTCAAGGGCTCAGTCAAGTTACTTTGTAAGACTCTCCAGAAAAAAACTGTGGAAGACGCTGAGATCTCAGGCATTTGATACCTTGTGCCCTCTCAGTTAAATGGGCACACTGTGCCTCTTGCCCCACTTGGGCGAGTCGCTTTCTGCCGAACTTGATGCCTCTTCCAGGAGCATCTTATTAGCCTCAGAATGTGCCCATCCAAAGTTCAGTCTGCTCAGCTTATCTCAGGAAACTGAAACAGAATCTGCTGGCCTAAATAGGCCGCTTACGTTTTCCCCTGTCATTTCTTCACCTTCCTCGCTGCTTCTTCCAGGGATGCGTGAGGCTGGGAAATCTTTTTCGTTTGAGCCGTACTGACTTCTGCAGTCACTTATTTCTTTATTTAGCATATGGCTTGTCATACATGGACTTGTAATATATAAGCATTTGAACAAGGTTAAAATACATTTATTAATGTTAAAAAGATCTCTATTTGGACATCAATGTCTAGGCCGTCTAATCTTTGAAGCACAGCATTGTTCATGTGAAAAAGGCCAAGACACTGGGCTGGTGAATGCCCTCAGTTTACAGCTGGTCACAATATGGTGTACAGTTTAATGCCATATTTCTTCTGCAGTATTTTCGATCTGGCGATTGAAAACAAATTATGCTGGATTTCTTTTTTCGGGCCCCCGGAATAGTTGCACACACTGAGTATTGAAAGTGGCATATTCATAGCACCAACTGCAGATATTGGGTCTTTTGTCCAAATGGGGTCTGGATCTTTAAATTTGCGTCAGTGCATGCATGCTGGTTTCAGTACTTTACCACATTCACAAATATACTATGTAATCCCCCAGGACAGCATATTCCTGTGATGGAGATTCCTATCAGTTTCATTAGCTCAGTACTATGTCCTTTGTCATTCTCCCTGCTTCATTTGTTATGGACAATTTCATCTAGTTCAGCATAGGCACTACAGTTCTCTTATGTGATTTGCATGCATCAGATAGAGCTACTTTTTATTACTATTTTCAGTTAGTATTTTTTAGCTTGCATGAATTCTGCAAATGGCATTGTGGTCTTTTAGACTTGTCCCATCCCTTCTTTTTTTGACCAGTATTAAGCATATAATAACTAACTTATGCTAATGTGGTTGTTCGGACAAATAATGTGCACTGGATTCATTTTTGATTATACTGCTGGTGGAGTGCCCCCCCTTTTCTTTTTTGAGCAAGAAGGCAGCCTGCCGGCTTGAGTCAGGTGGACCCCGTGAAAGGCACAAACATGCGCCACTTGGAGGCATGCGCAAATTTCCTGAGGATTTTTTTTCATGGTAGAATAGTAGAGTCGGAAGGGGCCAGCTCCAACTCCCCGTTCAGTGCAGGACTCCGAGATAAGCCGTCCCTCTCAGATGGCTGTCCAGTTGCATCCTGAATGCCTCCACTGTGGGAGAGCCCAGAAACCCTTTGGGTACTGGGTCCCATTGTTGTCTGGCTCTAACAATCAGAAAGTTCTTCCTGATGTTCAGCCAGAACCTGGCTTCCTGGAACTTGAGCCCATCATTCTGTGTCCTGCACTCGGAGATGATCGAGATGAACTCTTGGCCTTCCCCCGTGTGGCCACCTTTCAAGTACCTGTAGCGGGCTATCCTGTCTCCACTCAGTCTTCTCTTCTTGAGACTAAACATCTTGCTGATGGTGTTGCCCACGTTGCCTTCATTTGTTTCCATTCAATTTCTGTGCCTTACATTGCTCTTAAAAGGCACCAAAGCAGGGCCAGTTCTCTTTATACAATATAGAAACATAGAAACAGAGCGAGTCAGAAGGGGCCTCTGGGGCCATCTAGTCTGACCTCCGGCACCAGCTGGCTCCACTCATGACATGCCCACCATGTGCATGTCCAGCCTATCCTTGAACACCCGCACTGATGGGGCCTCAACGACCTCCCGTGGAAGCCCATTCCACACCCTTGGGGTCCTTATGGTCAGGAAGTGCTTCCTGGCATCCAAACGGAACCTTGGCTCCCTGAGCTTTGCTCCATTGGAGCACATCCTGCCTTCCTCTGCAGGGGAGAACAGGTCTCTACGCATCTCCATGTGACATCCCCTCACATACCTGTATGTCGCCAACAGATCCCCCCTGAGTCCCCTCCAGGCTGAAGAGACCCAGTTCCACACGTGCCCTGCTGGCTAATTTTGCATGTGCATGCGCGCACACTGAATTTAGTGTGGTGAAGGCAGCAGCAGAGCCTGCAATGTTGGAAGAAAGCAGGTGAGCAGGGGGCATGCACCTTGCTTGGAAGCAGAATTACGCTCCAGCTGCTTTCTGCATGCTTTGTTTCCTTCTAATGTTGCTGCTTTTTCACTTTTCTTGTCACTGCAACAGCAAATTCAGTGCTGGCAGGAGCAGTTCCATGGCAGCAGTGGAGAGGTTCCCCGTTAGAAGGGATCAGAGGGGCAATGAAGCACTCCAACCCACTTTGCCATATATCCATAATCTAGTCTGTCAAATCGCATGATCTCTCAAAGGGCTTTTTAATTAACTCCAGCTCTTTGGAGTTACCTTTCAAAATGTTATTTAAAGTAACGCTGTAATCAAGACTCGAAACTGTGGCAAATGTGTGTGATCAGAGATCAGGAGACCCATGCTAAATTTTTGGTGCTTCCTTTTTTTCTCCATATGCTTTGGTATTAGCTTATTTTCAATAAGGATTTTTAAAAAGTCTGTCCATGCCCTTTACTACCAGGATATCTGTGGGGAACTGGCCACTGAAATAGCTTCCCAACATTTTCACTAGTATTGTCACAATCTCATGGCTTGGGAATTTGAAATGTTTGGTCTGGGCAGTCTTTGAAATAGAGCCTGTGAATCAAAGTTCACAAGATAAAAGAGAAATCTGTTTACATTGACACAGATTTTGTATTAAGCAGGAAGACGCAACTCAGATATGGGTCACGAGGATTCTGCTGTGTGTGGAAAAGAATGATACAGTGGTAATCGTAAATCATAGTGACCTCCTCTTCCCACAGTGTCCCCTGTTCGCTATTCAGCCTTTATTTGTTACCTGCTCTGCACGGCAAGAGAGGGAGAGGGACAGTCCAAAGAATGCACTTAGTATCTCTGGGACCAGGCATGCTTGTGATGAAGAGCTGTAGGGAGGAGTGATGCTGCTCCGTGTTAATGCCGGGGTGGCCCGTTAAGGCTGGGCATCCTGGACCAGCTTTGCTGCAGCCTCCTGCACACGCAGCCTCCCTCCCTCCCTCCCTCCCTCCCTCGGCCCGGCTTTCCTCCAGCAGAGCTCGCTGCTCCTTTTCACATTGCTCGTGCGCCTCCCATGTCCTCCGGCCGTGGTGAGAGCAGTGACGCCGCTCCTGCCCGGGCAGGCTGCTGCTCGTAATGACAGGCAGAGCTGAGGGCAAGAGGCAGAGCCGAGCCGGGATGGAGACACCAGTGGCAAGGGAGCAGAGGGAGCCGGTGAGGCAGAGGCCGATCAAAGGGGCCGTGACGAGGGATGGGAGCAGGGCCAGCCGTTTGGAGCATGAGCTGAGCAATCCAAGGTCACAGCCTGGTGAACGCTTCTGACGGCACACAGAACGCTTCTGACCCGCGAAGGCCACCTGCATCTCACTGTCTCTGCCGCCCTTCCTGGAACAGCCTCGCCTGTCACTTGATCTTGCAGAAGCATCGGGACTTTGGCTTACCCTGCAGTTGTCCTGGGCTCTGCAGGGAGATGGAAGCCCAGCAGGAGGAGAGGCTGGACAAGAACCACGAACGGTACCCAGAGAGAGGGGAGGTGAAGCAGCCGGAGGGGGAAGGGGCTGTAGCCAGAGAACAGCTGCAGGGAGCATCTCCTTTAAGCCACCACGATGTGGGGCAGACAGGGGGGAACAGGTTCTGGCACGAAGGCGAGAGTCTGGGGCGGGGGGACGTGTCAAGTCGAGGGAGCGCAGCTGCTGTGCTGCAGCTGCCAAATGGCCACAGAAAGGAAGGTTCTCATTCTTCTGAGGAGCAGGAGGAGGAGGAAAAAGAAGAGGAGACTTCTGAGGATCAAGGCCAGAGGCCCAGCATAGATTTTTCAGGCCCAGGCAAAGATGGGAGCCTTCCTTCCCCAGGAGAAGAGATGGTCCTGCTAAAAAGATCAGAAAAGGAGGGTGTGCAGCAACCTCTGGAGAGCAGGAGTCATGGGGAGTCCCTGATGGGGGAGCTCTCCGAGATGGTGCAGGAGGTGGTGAAGAACAGCAGCTGGTGGGAGAAGCATGGCGTTGATGGCATGATTGTCGCTCTGAACTTTCTCGCCCTGCCAGTTGGTAAGAATGCCGGGATGCCTGCGGGACTCGTGGGGTGGGCTGGGGTGGGGAGCCTGTGATCCCTGCCTGGTTTCTCACGGCATGGACAGAAGACGCCCGGTACAATTGAGCACTGCATTATGGTTTGTGTCAGGAAATGCTGACCGGCCATTCTCTGCTGGCAGTTGCCTGCTGGCCAGCAGAGCACCCTTCCTGGGGGACATCTTCCTGGCCCTGAAGAGACAGGCTGGAGGTACAGAACCCAGCCTGGACCTTTTGTCTGACCCCAGCATGGCAATTTTTAACACAATTGGACTGAGATGTTATGCAGTGATGGCCACTGTTTTCTTTTGGCCATATAGCAAAAGAAAGAAAAAGGGTGGACAAATGAGCCAATAATGCAGTGCTGTACAAATGCTATTGTTATCACAGAAGAGCGGGGCAGAGGTTTTCACAGGCAATCAAGTCCAATTATAATAAAGGCAATGTGGCAAAATGTATTAAGCAAGGATAGCCGTCGTGGGCAATTCCTTTTGCTGTACAAGAAAGAGAGCGGGGGTGGGATCTACATTGCTTGGGACCTGATGCATTTCTGATAAAACAGCAGAGATCACGTTTTGTATTCTCCAGAGCTGCTGTTTTGCTACCCAGCTTAGCACCTTATGGTTTGTCAGCCTCTCTAATGAAGTTAGTGCTGTTTAACACCAAGGTCAGCAGTGGGCTCCGTGGGAGCCTAGGCAGAGGGAGGCCATTTGTGGAATGCAGGGAGAGATGCTGCTCCCCAAGAGAGACCCTCCACTGGCAGATTATTGGTACTTCTCCTTCTGGACTTCTCAGGAGAGAGCAATGCAACAAAATGTAGAAATATATAGCGTGCTGACTGGGTTCAAACAACACAATCTATTCAAGGCTGAGTGTGGGTTGTTGCTGAATCATGGGTTGTTTTTGACCATGGGCTATTGTATTGTGTACACCTAGCTGCAATAGCAAGCCATGGTTTGCTAACCTTGTTCTTGGGTTGTGAACTGTGGGTTGTTGGTGGTTAACAAACTACATGCCTCAGTTAACACAGCACAACAACCCACAGTGCAGCAACCGCCCATGGTTCAATAACAATCCACATTCATCCCATAAACACGCTTGAATAAGGTTGTCAAGTTGCATGAACTCAACCAGTGTCTCACCATTAATAAATAGCTATCAGCCTGGGCATTACATATTTCAGTCTTCCCCCAACTTGGCACCCTGAAGATCTGTTCGACTGCAATTCCGATCGTCCTCAGACAGTATCCAGTAGTAATGTTTGGTTCAACCATACAGAACCTGATGACGGATATGCAAAGCATTTCTCTTTATCTTATCTGTGAAGCTGTGTGGGCAAATGTTGCCACATGTTGCTTAAATTTACTAGGAGAGAACCAGCCATAGCCCTAGTTCAGATGTCTGCTCAGCCATGCAACTCATTGAGTCATCGTCTTTCAGCCTCGCCTGAACCATCAAAGATAAAATAGATAAAAGATAAAGACAAAATAGGACACCACATTGAACTTCTCGGAGGAAGGACAGGACAAGAACACAATACAGAAGATAAACCCATTAGAACTGCCAGATACCGCCATCCCTGGGAAAAAGTTGTCATCTTCTCCATGCTTTTTCTTTTTTCTTTTTTTTGGGGGGTGGGGGGGCGTTCATTTAATGTGTAGTTGGGATACTTGGTTCATGTGCGGATCCACAGGGCATCAACTTTGGAGAAGCACCGCTCTGTGATCAAATGTGTATTCCGGTAAAAGGTGACATTCTCATGCCATGCCAACAACAGAGCACTGCTCTTTGAGTTGCTTCCATGTCGTGGAAGAATTGCTTATTGGGTCTTTATTAGGTTGCACACATACACATCTGTACACATCTATGGGGTGTATAGATGTCTGGCCATCCTGTTCGTGGATTATGGATTATGCACTGTTCTGCCCCATATGAGTTATGATGGCCACATCGCAAATGGCCTTTTTAAGAAGCCATTGTTAGGTCAATTTCTTGTAACCCTGTATCAGAACAAGATGCAGTGGGCAAAATGGTGAAAGATCAGAATGCAAACTTGTGTTGTGTCACATGATACCTATCTAGAATGTGGCTCTGAAGTTGACCATGGCTGTGAATATATCCCAGATCTGAAATGTTCTGTATTTGACGGAATATAGATTGACTCCCCTAAGTACTGGGACAAGAAATAGGTAAAATCTCTCCCTGTAGGTATGGAAAGAAAACTCTTTAGAGATAATAACAACTAGAGATGGGATATTGAGAGGAGTGCTGTCCTACCAGACAGCTAAAAGAATTTTGTGTTCAGAAGTTTCAATTTTAGGATCTCATTGACCATATTATTCAGCAGAGTGGACAGATAAGAGACCTCCAGATGTCATGAACGCTGGCAGCAAAAGTTCAGGACCATTGGCCCTGCTGGTGAGGACTTCTGTGAGCTGATGTGCAAACCATCTGGAGACCTATCTTGGGCCACCTTTGTTGTAATGCAGCAAGGGGCTCATTTTATAAAAAACACATCCCTTATTTTAACATTGGGCTTCCATAAAACTCCAAAGAGCAGACCAATCTCATGTCCTGATTCTACCTGAGAGGATGCTGCATGACCCTTCTCGCTCTGAACGGAACCCAAGTAATTCAGAGGCGCTCCCTGTGGTCACACCAGAACAGGAAGTTGGAGCCCTGCCTGTACTTGCTACATTTTTCAGTTATGTCCAGAGAAAAAGCTCCTCAATGCTTCCTCTCCTTTCCTAGGATTCTTGCTTCTGCGCTCGGATAACCTTTCCGCGTTCCTGTTGGGCATCGCCATCCTGGGTGTGGCGCATCACACGATCACAGTGAAGGGGAGCCACCTGGTCACCCACAATGCTCTGGTGGAGTCCAAGTCATGGGGGAGACTGTGGCTCATCTTCTTCCTGGAGGTGCATTTTCAGCCGCTTCTGTTCTGTGGGAGCAAGTGCGTTGAGACAAGAAGTTTTGTTGTGTGTTGTATTCAGCCAGAAGTTGCAAAATGGAAAATCCTGCTCTGGGATATTGGAAAGCAGTTAGTTCTCTGGACATTCCCTGGCCGCAGTTCTCAAGCTCTCCTGCTGCAAACTACTGCAAGGGCACATGTACGCATAGCACCCATAGTGCAGGATGATGCTCAAACCTATTCTTAGGCATAGGAATGCCTGTCAGTAGATCACTAAAACTCTGGGCAATTCACAGCATGGGGGGCAGCGCCTTCTACTGCCCCAAATGGTAGATCATGCAAACCGAACAACATTCATCGTCATAGAAGTAAACTCTCCAAGTCCTACTTGGACATTGTTCAGACAGACCTGATTCTCTGTGCAGGCATCTGCTCTAGTATTCCAGCTCTCTGAAATGCACCCCAGCCCTTGGCACCAGGACTGGGGGTCCTCATGGCCTTTTGCAGTCTCCACCCGGAGAATTGGCCTCTTCCTGCCCCTGATCCATTCAAGAAATTTCCTGAAGTGCGGGGGGCTGACCCAGACAAACTGCCTGCACAGGGAGGCGTGAGGCTTCCACAGTTCTGTGAGATGCGCAGGGCCATGGGGATATGAGTGCTTCCCCCATGCCCAGGAGCTTTGGGCGCTTTTGCGAGGCGGCAGTGTGCCTGAGCTGGCACCTTGCAGCTGCCGCTTCCACATACATTGCAAGGAATGGGGTTGAAGGATCTTTCGCAAGCAGAGCCTTTCGTCTTTCAGAAGGCAGACCCCTCGATCCAGCCAGGCTGCACAGATAATTCTCACGCAAACCTCTGGCTACTGCAGACCTGCTCCATACCTTCCACGCACGGTTCAGCCTGGAAGAGCAGAGGCTTGCTGCTGCTTTGGGTTCAGTACAGCAGGAAGGAGCCTGCAGCGCTGCACTTTGTCAGAGTTCTGTGTGAGTACGACCACCCGTGATGTTTAGGGATGGAGCGGGCTAAGCAACTATCAGATTTCATCGACAAGTTGGATCTTTAAAAGGGAGGGCTGTCACACATCATGAAGGAGATTGCTTATTGTCATTTCAGCACTAGGTGCTGTTCCCTAACTATATGGCTTAGTAATGTTCCCATGGCCCTTTTAAGGCCAAAAATTTGCCCAAACTTGCAAAGGGACAAATACATGGATACGTGGGCTGCCTTTGTTGAAGTCTATGCATAACTGTCCCCACTAATAGCAGCCTATTTTGCAATGTGTGCACTATATATGAGCACATATGGTCTATGCATTAATTGTAATAGGAAACTGTAATGCTTTATTTTCCTCCTTTTTTGTTGCTTTGTTGGGCTTACTTTGATTTTTGACATTCTCAGTAAGAATTAAAGTTGAGTCCAAACTTTCCCACCCTGGTGGCCTCTAGAAGTTTTGAACCTCAACTCCCAGGGTTCCTGACCGGATGATGCTGGCTGGAGCTGACGGAGCTGAAGCTCAGAACACTGGAAGGCACCCGGCTAAGGAAGGCTGGCTTAGTCTTGTTTTCTCTTCTGTTGGATAGGATTTCAGAATCGTGCTTGGATAGGAACCAGAAGCTTTGCTCTGGCTCTAATGAAGTTACAGTTCCTGCCCTATTGATAGTTCTGGAATTATTACGCAAAGTCCTCTACAGTCAGTTGATGTTGCCCCAGAGTAGTCATTAGAGGTGGTGATGCAACTGGCCAGAATGTTGCTAATGTGGTTATGCAATGCAGCAGAGCTCTGGATAGCCAGTAGCTTTGGTAATATTCACGGGTAGGTTATGAATCCTTGCAGAGGAGAGAGCAATGTAAAAAGGAGTTGAAAATCAAACCCAATGGCTCTTATTAACAGGCAGCAAACCATAATACATCTCTTTAAAACTGTAGTCTGAAGAGGTACAACACTGATTTCAAATAAAGCAATTTTAAAAATTAAATCCTGGCAAGGAGGAACAATAAAAGAGAGAGACCAACACTCCCACTCCAAGGAAAAGTACTTCTTGAAAAAGAAATATTGGATATGGAGAACTGAGCTAGTAATGAGCCAACAATTAAATCAATTGAGAGGTGATAAATGCAGAAATACTTGCATCTGATCAACTGGTTCAATTGAGGAAAACATATCAGTTCACAGAGCTGGGGTTCTACTTTTGCACTTCATCTCTGGAGCAGGAGAGGGAATTTCTGCTGACAAGTTCCAGGTGGAGAGCTGCTAATGCTCCCATTCAGAAGGCTCTCTGCCACAGTTCTGCCCCCTTTTCCTTAATGGATTGGTAAAGAGGAGCAAAAGATGGAAGTAGCAGTAGAAACCAGAGAATACTACACATGGAAGACATTAGCATCTGGATCCCCCTTCAAATTCTGTGTCTGAGGCACAGGTGATGATGAGATAACAGCCTCCTCTGGAAGCAGTCTTGTGCAATCACATGCTCTTCAGAGGGGAGGGGATATTTATGGGACCATGGATTTTCTGTTGCCGCATGTTCCAGATTCTTTGGGGCAGCCTCACATACACTTGATTCAGGATTTGCAGCAGAGTTCCATACTGGGGGTGGCCCTAAAATGCCTGCCTCTTTGGCAATCACACCTGAAACTGCATGAGGGGTAGGCCCTTAGGGAACAAACTGCAGTAGGGAAACGCCAGCAAAAAGGATCAAGCATCTTCCTCTGCCTGTGGATGTTCTGCTCCCCATTGTCATCCCCCTTTCCCCGACGTGGCTTTTCTGCTTCAAAAAGGGTGACAAGCTACAGTGACATGTGTTGATATGAGCAGATGACAAAATATCTCCATTGGTGCCTTATGAAGGCTCTTAGGCAACTGCCTGGAAATTACTTGCCTGAAAACAAACTCATTCAAATCAGAATCTGAGTGAAGTAGTTTGCAGATGACTACACCCTGGCAGGTTCTCAAACCTTCAAAGTCGGTCTTCTGGATTTCAGGAGAAACTAGGAGCACAGCCTTAGGGAAAGTACTGCAGTGGTCTCATTTCTGTGAGCCCTCATTGCACAATCTATTGCTACATAGATCTGTTTGCAAGTCTAATGCTCCTTTATTTACTGTCTCTTTCTGTCCCAGGTTTGCACTGCTTTCACGGCAGAACAGGGGGTCTATAACCATGTGAAGATCCACCATGCTTACACGAACGTCGTTGGTCTGGGGGACTCCAGTACATGGAAGCTTCCTTTCCTGAACCGCTATGTTTACATGTTCCTTGCACCTATCGCTGTGCCTATTCTCACCCCTTTAGTGGCAATCGGTATGTGGCGTTCCTCTGGATCCTGCTACTAATTTATAATTGTCCATCCTAGCTGATAGCCAAATGCAGAAGGCCTTCCTCATTAAGACACATCCTGCCCTGCTGACTCACTCAACGTAGCATTTATTCATTGACTCTCAGCGTACTGGAAAGTGGGGGTTGTAGTAGAACATCTGGAGGAGCACTTATTTCTTACCTCTGCTATGCAGAAGAGTAGACATGCATCAGGTTTGTAGGATCTACTTTGCACGCTTGTCCGTTTTGACCAGAACTCCAAGAATCAGTATCTGGAACCAGCTGCAAAAGGTACACCCTTAGAATTAGAGAATTCTTAGCCCAGACATGTATCTTAAGTACCAGGACCTGACTAAGCTTCTATGCAAAAATATCCTCTTTCAGAAGTACAATCTGGGGAGGGGGCATCTTGTTATACTGCAACCCATTCAGAGGTCCATCAGTAGATCTTGAGCTGCCTTCTGCCCACCCCCACTGCAGAGCATGGGCCAGATTTCTGAAGCAAGAATGCACACGCAAACCACTGGGGATTGCTGCTCAGTCCCAATGGGAGGAAATTCAATGGAGCGATGCAATGGATGGGAGGAGGCAGACCTTGAGCAAAACCCACTCATTGCAGATTATTAAACACGGTTTTGTTAGAAAATTCCTTCAGGCTATCCAGCATTCATCGTTTCTTCTCTTTTCCTGTCCTTTGACAATCATTTTGTATTAGTTTTTGTTTTATACTTACACCTGCTTTTAATCCTCCCATCTAACAGATGCACAAAACTGAGTTATTTCTCTTTTGAGGCAAATTCGTTTTGATTCTATAACTGTGCCATAAAGGCTGGGATCAGAATTCAGAAAAGAATGAAGATGAAGAGCATCAAGATACTCTGGCACGACTGTGCAGTCCTGACAGCTGCTTTTTAAGGGAGTGGCTTCTGTTCTTGGTCAGAAGAAAATGTGCGAGCAGCCTCATAGGGGCCTGAAAGTGTGGGATTGCCAGTGATGAGCAGGGAACCAGGACTCGCTTCTACAACCTACGCAGCCTGTCCTCTGGGTTCTCTCCCTCTGCTGTCTTGGACCTTTTGGCTCTCTGGATGCCTGCCAACCTACTCTGTCAATATGCTACACTGGGTTGGTTATGTGAACAACTCACAGTGCATCCAACTGATGACCGTGGGTTACTCATCCGCTCCCTCCCCCTCAGACTCCCCTCATCCCCCCTCCAGGCTTCCCAGGGAAGCCTGATGTGTTCGCCTTCCCCATTTTACAACTGTGACCCCGTCTGGGCTTGTTGCTGCTTTCCTGTCCCTTTTACCCAAAGCAATCTACTCTGTAATGGCTGCTGGCAGCTCCTTCAAATTTCCCAGCCAGTGTGTCGGAGGACTGCCCCTGGTTCGTCACCCTTGTTAAAGAAATTGCATCCCGAATATGCACAGTTCTTCATAGTTAAGCTTGCACATGTGTGCACTTGCTCACTTTCATGGGTCCAAACTGGCATACCTCATCTGGGTAATGTCAAAATGGAGCAGGTACCAACCAAAGACATTGAGCCAGGGAAGATCTCCACAGGCTTGCTTTGCAGCTTGCAAGGCATGCTGTCAATCTGAAAGCAAAAACTTGAATCAATTTCATTTGTGAAAAGGGGTTAGCGGTAACCCCCACCCCCACTGGCACTGGGGTTCTCTTGTTCCCTTGATAGGTCCCAGTTACCCCATTTTTTCTACCCCTTCCAGAAACGCTAGCTGCTCAGGAATGCGAAAAGGTGCAGCTGACCCCCTTTCACTGGAGCACGGAGCTCTGACTGCCATCCCAGAAACACGGGGGTTGCACATGGAGAACATTTAGAAGTAATTTAGTACAACACAGGAGTCTTGTTTTCTAGTTGCAGAGGGGTTTGTGTACTAGTGCAGAAATTGAGATCCATGCACCTGGTATGCCCACAGATCTAAATCCCTTTAGTAGTCTTGTCTGTGGTCCGATCACATTCTTTTTTAAAAATAGATGTAGGGAACTCCCGATTTCCCCAGCATTCTTCAATGTTTCCCCTTTGCACTGTTTCCCCGATCGGAATTGCCAGTCCGAGCAGCTGCTATTAGTCTCTAAAGGGAAACAGATGAGGGTGCAGATGAGCTGCCTGCCCCTTTTCTTCCTCCCTGATGGCAGGGGGTCCTCAGGAACATGAGCAGGAGGGTGAAGGGTGCCCCCCCACTCTCCGGACTCTACTGCTGTGGCCGGATCTCCAGGTCTGTGTATTTGCCAGGCATATGAAGCCTGAGAGACCTGATTGCAAATTTTCTAACTCATGCTTGGTTTGGCCCACAGCAGAAATGTGACAAAAACATTAGCAGTGGGGCAGTGTTGCTTTAAGAGGTTATGGTCTCTTGAAGGGAACCATAAGGAAATCTTGCTGCAATTCTGCACTGCCCTGGCATACTTCTACGGGCCCTGCAGGAATATGATTTCCCATGCCATCAGCGTCCTTTTCTGCATGGGGTGGAAGCTGGGGAGACAGCTGGGACAACTGCCTCACTCGCTGATGGCTGCTTCCATAGGCTTGCTCAAAGAAGCTGAGCTGAAAACAGCTGTCCGGACGCTCTGCTGCGTGTCCGCTGGCCTGTACGGCCATTACTGGCTGCTGCGTCACGTCTCGGGGTTCCAGTCCATGGCTTCTGCTCTCGGCTGCATGCTGGTCACACGGTCCCTCCTTGCCCATCCTTACATCCATGTTAATATCTTCCAGGTAAGAATCACCAACTCTGGAATGGATGAAGAAGTGGAGGTGCTTCTTTGAGGCATAGAGTGTTGCTTAGGATGTTATGTGGCGTCCTGCCCTGTGGCAACTGGCAAAGGCTGCAGAGTTGCTCAGTGTTGAAAAAGTAAGGGCGCGGAACGGTGAGATTCTGTGGAATCTGCAAATTAAAATAGAACTTTAAAAAAATGGTGCGGAGATGCTTCTCTTGAAAGAGTATTAAGTTGGCATGCCTATGCACGCATATTGGAAACTTTAATAATTAAAAGTAATGAGAAAGAAACTTGGGAAGAGTAACTCTCTCGTAATATGATGAGAAATTCCACATAAACATGGAATTTGGCTGTATGAGTTATTTTACTGTATCCATAGCTTCTTTCACTGTTTAGATAGTCCGTGAATACTTGGAACATTTCTCACAAAGGGTACTGTTCCCTTTTCGGAGGGGTTAGTATTTTCCCAGCCAGACAGCAGAATCTAAAAACTGCAGTGGGCTTGGAAATGTTGTTGTTCTTACTGCCACCGCCACCGCATTGTTCAGATGCTCTTTCTGCAGGTACGTGGCCTTCCTGCTTGTCTGCCTTGCTAGGCCCAAATTCTGGCTCTATGAGCTCCAAAGTGAGCTGCTTCCGGTTTTGTCTTGTAGCATATTGGCCTCGCCATGTTTTCAGCTGATAAGAAGCCAAAACGAATTTACATGATGACCTCTGGTGTTCTGAACTTGCCCCGAAATCCCTTGTTGGACTGGTCCTTCGGACATTCCCTCATCAGCTGTCACGTGGAGCACCACCTCTTCCCCATGCTTTCGGATAACATGTGCCTGAAGGTGCGAAGCAACATGCTGGGTGGAACGGGTGCTTTGGAGGGATGGGTGGCAGAAACCCATGTCTGCTCAAGGTATGCAAGCAAGGAGAAGAGTGCATTAACAAGGCAGCTGCGGCTGCTTTGTGATAGAGGTGGAGAAGTGGGCCAGAGCCCAAACTCCCCTACCCTGCAATTAGCCACTTGCCCAACATCTGCCGCAATAAGCACCTTCTCCTCTTTTCGTTTTGGCAATGGAGGCCCAAGCTGGATTTGGCCTGTGGCTTGCCTTAAAGTATGGTAAATATTACATAGCTCACCAGGACTGCTAACTCTACCTTTCCCTCTTAGATCAAGCCAATTGTTTCCCAGTACTTGAAAGAGAAGAAATTGCCATATATTGAGGATTCGTATTGGTCGCGCTTGACGTTGTTCCTGGACAAATATGAAGATCTGATGATCCATGCACCACCTATTTCTGAACTTGTTGGGATTCAGTGATGGAACACAAAGCTATTGTAGCCATATGGCAAGATAACTTTTTTCCTCCCCAGGAGCAAGCAGCTTAGAACTCAAGTTACGATCCAATCAAGCTATCAAGGAGAAAACCTGAATGTCTTTAATGTCTTCCATATGGGCAAGCAGGAAAGACTTTTGGATAAGCCATGCCAGCTGTTTGGTGATGGGTCAAAAGGGAAAAATCAACAGCTCCAATACAATAGGATCAAACAAAAGTTTTAACATCTTGATTTCCCCCGTTCCACTTGGTTTTTAAATTTTGCATATGTTTCCTTGCATCCCTTCCTTCTGCTACTTTTGCTAAGAAAGGGAAATTATAAGGGCTGTTTTTATATGCTATTTTTCTCTCTCTTGATCAAGTAATGCTCATGTTCAAGAGCAGCTGTATGCTGGATGGGTGCTTCTGTGCTGACATCTAGTGCTACCAGTCCAAAGGCATAATGCAGCTACTTGGCCTTTTCTTGCTTCAAAGGCTCCTGCAGTTAGAAAAAAGCTGAAAGTGGTAGGGAAGGTTACAACAGAAAATGACAGTGCCTAGACTCTGCCTCCCCCCATAAAATCCAATGACTGATGCAGGGCAAGGATACAATAAAGGGTTATATGGATTTTTTTCCCTCTTGTGAATATAACTCAGCCAGCTAGCAACAGGTCAGAAAACTGCCACAGTGTAAATCCACACATTACACACATCTTTCATGCACTGCAATTTATACATATGCTCCCAATATAGAAATGATCTTTGTGAGCCGGGAAAGAAAGGGATGAAGGGATGAAATTGACTCCTGCATTAATGTCATGCCCAGGGATGTCAGGTTAAACAGATCTAGGTCATTGGTGAGGTTAAGCCTGCAGTCCGGGGGATGTCTGAGGACTCTGTCTTTTCCTTGAAGACAGAACTCACTCACTTCAATAATAGGAATGGTTTATCTGAAAGAACAGCAATGGTGCACAGGCCAGGAAACCAATCTACCTTTAAGGGTGGCCCTTCTGCTTTATAAAACAACAGCAAGTGAGGGGAAAAACCTGTATTAAGATTGCCCCCACTGAATCTGCTAAAAAAAATTGGCAGTTGAGGGCTAGAGAGAATAAATGATTACACTTCCCTGCTCTAAAATTTTCCGTCATGAGATCCTGTATTGTATAGATAAAACTGGCAGTGCATGTTTACTTGTATTCCTTACATAATTTTGCTTCTAAACTTTGCATTTGGAAAGAATTTGAAATAGTAACTGAGGGACAGAGGTAAGTGTGTGTGTGTGTGTGTGTGTGTGTGTGTGTGTGTGTGTGTGTATGCGCATGCATGCATGCATCTGTCCAGGTCTTGGTCTGCTCATGTACTACGTTCTGCTTCGAATTGCCACAGAAAGCCTGGATGCGATGCAGCCGGCGCGCGTGCCACTCCTTTCCACTTAGGCTTGTGAAGCCTGAAATGAGATACTTGTGTGTGAGAGAGAGAAGAGGTAGAGCTATCTGGGGACAGGAGACTGGGATGCGAGTGCTGCATGGGTGTGTATTAGGCACAGCTTTCATAATGTTCAACACATTCCCCATTAAAGTGTACAGTGAAGATTTCACAAGGGAAAACACGTGGATTAAGTTCCTGGGATGCACCAGAGCACAGCAGGGCTTTACTGTGGGGAAAACTTTGCAGGCACAGACGTGTAAAACATTTCTTTCCACCCGGCTTTTCAGTAAAGGTCCCCAAGGCAGCTTGTAGCTTGAAATTAGTAATGTCAGCAATGAACTCCTAAAGGACCATTTAAATGGCAGTGTTAAAATTACAAAAGGTGCAATCCAACGTCCTGTGAGAATGCTTGTGCATATCCTATGGACTGAACTAGGTGCCTTGGGGGCAAGCCTTGTGTTTTATCTAGATGGCTATTTCTGAGGGTGCAGATAAAGGGCCAGGTGGGAGGGGAGGGGAGGGGAGGGGGGCTGGCCGGTGGATAGCATCTGGTGTGAAATCTTGGCTCCATCCTCCTCACCTTCCTGGCCCTCTCTTTGCCCCCCCCCCCCCCCCCAGTCCCTGTTGCAGCCTGGCTGGAGGCAGCTGCTGTGGTTCATTAAAGGCTTGACTAATCCTCATGATGAATTTCCTCCGTGATTTACAAAGCTGCAGTGCTATCCAGTCCAATAGCACAGAGGCAAACTGGGGAAGGATTTAACTGAGCTTAGCTTCGATACCATTTCAGATTGTGTGAAGAGGTTAATCCTAATGCCACATGCTGCTTAACATAATTACAGCTCAGTTTGGAAACAATCATGTTCAACAAGCGCTTACCCTGTTCAGAATAAAGCTTAACTACATAGTGCATCTATAAAGCAGTCACTATTTCAGTTAAGCTTTTGTGCAGAATTTGCTATGGAAAATTATACCTGCATGTGTGAGAATGATAAACCTGTGCCTCCAAGTACCAAGTCTATGCATGACCACACAGGTAAAACCTACTGAGGCCAGTGGGGTTTACTTTCAGGTAAGTGTGCACAGAACTTCAGCCTTAAACAATATCTGCAGGTGAATAAGATTCCCTTCATAGCTCCAATATCAATATGTTTACACCTCTACCTTATTAAGTTATTTAAGGCACACTCCTATTCATGTTTTGACAGAGAAAAGGCCTAGAGGTCCCAGTAAGGTTGGATGGGGCATACTGGGAGCTGGAGACTTTTCCTCTGCCTGAACATGCATAGGATTTTGTCCTTACACAATTATGTACCAGAAGCTCAGAGATGGTATGGTGAAATGCCAGACCTGGGGGCAAATCAGGGAAGGCAAGGAGCTTTGTGCTGTGTTGGCCAATGTTCAGAAACACTTTGTTGACTGCTGTTGGAAAAAAATATCGGAATGGCAGCCAAAATGATGAGGGGGTGGAATGACTCCCTTCTGAAACAAAACCTGGGGATTTTTATGTTTTCTAAAGAGAGTAAAGAGGGACATGATAGAAGTGCATAAGCTTCTGCACACTGCGGACGTATGTCCTCACTCTCCATGAACACCAGAATGAAGGCTTATCCCCCAAAACTGAATGGTGGTGGGTTCAGAACAGGCACAGCAAAGTGTTTCTGCATGCAGTGTACAGTTGCATTATGGGATTTAGAGGTGTTAGGTGTGGTGACAGCCACCAAGTTCAATACCCTTAAAAGGGAATTAGATCTCAGTGGATAAAGAGCCAGGTAACTTCAGAGAACTTTTGCTGGTTGCTCTTCATATGCACTCTTCAGCTCGACTAATAGTCCATGTGAAGGAGGTAAGGGCAGGCGACTACCAAGCTCACCTCTCTGCTTCCACCGCGGCACCATCATAGCTGAAGAAGTTTTTCAAACAGAGCTTTGACCACAACTCCTGTCTGCAAGATGCTATGAATCTGTAGTCTCTATTTTTTGGGGGGGTTTTTTCAGGTGACTGAGATGCCCCGTAAAACGGCTGGGCGACCCACCACACGCTCTCTGTGAAGCGTACAAAGTTGCCCAGAGGGACTGAGTGTAGCTTTGTGTGCACTGCAGAAATGTACTATGGGAAGTCCCAATAAGCCCCAGCTTGCCGCACATTTTTCAGCAGTGTATTGTCAGCTGTCACAAGAAACGGGTCCAACTACCTTGGATGGGAAAAAGCAAGCCAAGAACTGGATTAAGAATAAGGCAAGTCAAAGCAACGCAAGAGTGCATGCATGTACAGGCAGAACACCTAGGGACCGCCCCAAACAATGGTCACACGGGAACTTATACAGACTCTGCTCTTTCTCCGTGCTTTCCCACTATGCCCATGTGGTGTGGTGAATGGTGAAGAGGGTGGGACCGGGACTCAGGTCATCCAGGTTCTAGTCCCCACTCGGCCAAGGGGCCAAATGAGTGACTTTGAGCCAGTCACAGACTCTCAGCCCAGCCTCCCTCACTGGGTTGTTGTAGGTAGAGAGCAGGAGGAAGAGCATAATGTAAGCCACTCTGAGTTCTTTGTGAGATAAAAGGTAGGATATAAATTTAATAAATTAATAAATGTGCACATCACGCATCACATATCATTTTCTCACCAAACTCACCTGCCTGGTAACTTTCCACAAGCCAGCTCATCACGTCTCACCAGTCTTTGGAATTTCTTCCCCAACTTTTCCACCTCGTTGTCAGATGGCTTGTGCGCAGATAAGCTAGGTACATGGAAGGTACACCTTGGCCTAATTAAATCCCTGTTGCTCCTTCTCACACAGTATTGCAATATGCGGTTGCAGTTGTATTAGTCAGTGTCTAAATTATGCAACCCTTTGTTCCTACACACTTCTACACTAACCTTACATATCTGCTTTTTGCCAAGGCTGAGAAAATAAGAAAGGAAAAGTTATACTTTTTCTCCCACAATATCCTTCTTTTTTGCTGCATCCAAGACAATGTGGCAACTAACCATTCTATTTTATTTAATGCCTCACATTTTTCTTCTAACATACTTCCATCTTCCTTTTCTTCTTTCTGGATCATCACCATCGGCACACACTCTCTGGATGCAACCTTAATGTTACAGATATTTGCACATAATAGCAGAGTTCATTACACATTAAAAAGAGTCTAATGCCAACAGTTCTGTATCACAGACCTGCCCTTTTAACACGCTTTAAGTCTATTTAGTTCTTGGTAACTATCTCCCGATACCAACACTTGCAACATTATGGTTTACTATCTCAGCTTGCTTTTTCTAACTTATTTCCTATAGTTTATTCAGGTCATGGAAAATTACTTTACAATCAGATCTAGAACAACCAAAACAATACCATACAATTTTACAACTGCCCCTGCCCACTTCTGGGGGTAATTGTTAGCCTACAGCCAGTGTATTTATTATCATTTGATGCAAGTATTCTGTTCTTGATTGGAGGTCATATATAATTTGAATGGCTGCTTTGACAATACAGATCATCAAACAACTGAACATGTTTAGGCCAAACTTGGTTTTCTGCTTCTGGGTAGCCCTTTTCGAGGGTGAGCCAAGCTTGTTC